TGCTGATGGGTTGATTCAGCTCATGTGCTCCTCTGTCTGCAGGGTAATTTCGGCAGTGTGGAGAAGTGCCGCTATGACCCGCTGCAGGATAACACCGGTGAGGTCGTGGCGGTGAAGAAGCTTCAGCACAGCACGGCGGAGCACCTGCGCGACTTCGAGCGCGAGATCGAGATCCTGCGGTCGCTGCAGCACGAGAACATCGTGCGCTATAAGGGCGTGTGTTACAGCGCAGGTGAGTGTGTGTGTGTGTGTGTTCTGACCGACCGCAGCACATGTCCACAGTGGCGCACACACCTCACCGCTCTCCCTCTGTCTGCAGGACGCAACAACCTGCGGCTGGTGATGGAGTTCCTCCCGTTCGGCAGCCTGCGAGACTACCTGAGCAAGAACAGGGAACGCTTCGACCACAGCAAACTGCTGCTGTACGCCTCGCAGATCTGCAAGGTGCTCTCACACACACACACACACACACACACACACCTGGAGAACACCCTGTCTCAGTGCAGGGCGATATACTCAACTTTCAGTTCATCCTGTCACTCGCCTGAGAGATCACCAATATATGAAACTACGACACTCACTCATTCATCCTCCTTCAGCTTAGTCCCTTTATTAATCAAGGGTCGCCACAGCGGAATGAACCACCAACTATTCCAGCATATGTTTTACACAGCAGATGCCCTTCCAGCTGCAACCCAGTACTGGGAAACACTACACACTACGGCCAGTGTAGTTGATCAGTTCCCCTATAGCGCATGTGTTTGGACTGTGGGGGAAACCGGAGCACCCGGAGGAAACCCACACCAACACGGGGAGAACATGCAAACTCCACACAGAAACACCAACTGACCCAGCCGAGACTCAAACCAGAGACCTTCTTGCTGTGAGGCCACTGAGCAACAATTCTAATTCTTGTCTAGTCTAATTCTTAATTTACATGCGGCACAACCCTACTCTGCGGAGTGTGTAACGTGTGTGTGTGTGTGTGTTCAGGGCATGGACTATCTGGCAGAGAAGCGTTACGTTCATCGGGATCTGGCCACGCGCAACATCCTGGTGGAGAGCGAGTTTCGGGTGAAGATCGGAGACTTCGGCCTGACTAAAGTTCTCCCTCAGGATAAGGAGTATTACACAGTGCGAGAGCCCGGAGAAAGCCCCATATTCTGGTGAGGACATTCACACACGCGCCCGGCCGAAGCGGAGACATGAAAGATCACAAATTCTGAGTGCACTCGGCCAAGCGCAGGAATTTCTTCAATTAAGGCTCGTACACACCGTTTTCGTTTGAGTTTATCGTCGGCGTTTTACCAGACGTTTTTCCGTATACAAACTTAAGCGCTTTTCACTGGCGTCAAGCTGAAGAGGAAGCAAAATCACTCATTGGTGTTAGACGGCGCTACACAACTTTAAGCATTTAAAACCCGCTTATAGCACAGAAGAGGAGGAGGAGGAGGAGAGGAAGTTCACACGCTTGTTACTGGAGTTTCATGGATGGGTGAAGCAGCAGCTCCAGCTCTAGCGATGAGGAAATGATTATCGTTCAGCAGTGTTATCAGCAGCTGCACGCTCATATCGCCTCTGGGCATCTTCTTCAGTGTGCGCTCGCATTGACAGTTTTGCGCTTGAGCGCCTCCAAGTGCCGTTTACTGTAACTTCAGCAGCTCCGTGCACGTGAACAGAAGTGCTGATCTGATTGGTGGAGAAGGTTTTGAAGCAGCGCGTCAAATAAAAAAACCAGCGTGAGGCGTTTCTTTTTAAATGACGCTTTAGCGCCTGGCGTTTTGCGCATTGGTGTGCACGATCACATTGACGCCTTTTATTTAGTCAGGAGGCGTTTAACGTTGACGGAAAACGCGAGCAAAAAACGTCTCGGTGTGCATCGGCCTTTATTTATAGTTTAAATATCAATAAATAATAGTAATATTGTTAGACTCTTTACATTCAGCTACATGGAAAATCCCCACAAGGCACTAAAATAGCCAGCTTTTATAGACAGTAAAGTTTTATTGGCAGTGAGCGAGTCGATCATCAGTTTAGCAGTGTTGGGAGCGCTATTGCTAACAGCAGGAGGGACTACACCACGTGAAAACGTCCTTTCAGCACATTATTTGAGCTGATCATGGCTTTCTGCGTTTGCTTTTCCGGTGAGCAGGTGTGGTTCCTGCATAGACGAGTACACTCGTGCGTAATATCCAGACAGCTGAATGTTGAGTGTTGTCATCTGTAACTGCAGCTGGTCTGCTGTAATCAGAACTCAGTGTTTGCATGCTGCATTAGAATGAATGGGTGTCATAGCGCAGCGCTCTCCGCGTGCAGTGTGAAAGCGGTGTATGCTCAGTCACTGCGTGTTCTTGTCTGTTTGTGATGAAGGTATGCGCCGGAGTCTCTGACCGAGAGTAAGTTCAGCGTGGCGTCAGACGTCTGGAGTTTCGGAGTCGTCCTCTATGAACTGTTCACCTACAGTGAGAAGAGCTGCAGTCCTCCAGCGGTGAGTGTCGCGCCGTCTCGTCTGTACGCTCAGTGATGATCAATTCTCCTGATGCTGTGCTGTGTTCAGGTGTTCATGGAGCAGATGGGTGAGGATAAACAGGGTCAGATGATCGTCTATCACCTGATCGACCTGCTGAAGCGGAACTACCGGCTGCCCGCTCCAGATGGGTGTCCAGCAGAGGTACAGACCCGCCGCTAGCTAATAACTGAGCTTTAAAAACAGACAAGATCCCGAAGCACAAAAACACCCAGATCACGACTAAAGCGAGTCAAGGGATCGGGCCGTTTCAAGCCTGAATCTGCATCTGATTCACCATGTTGCAAACACACCAATCACACAACGCCTAGTGGACACACAGTGCAACTGCGCTGCGGCTGTCCTGAGTTTAAATCCTAATAATGTTCGTTATTCATGACTGAAATAACACGGTAATGCTCTGTTTAAGAAAGCGAACCACCAATAAAACAAGAAGACGACGTCAGACTGACGCTACAACACACATTACAATTCAAAACCCAAATCTTAAATGACTGTCGTTCCCTCACCCTGGATTTAAACTGAACATGTCGGTCAGGAACAGCAGTCACTCCCCCAAATCATGAGTATTCGATGATACAGCATGGGTTATGGTTCCTCAGTTCACCTAAATGTTTCTGTTGAAGCCGTTTCAGAGCAATACCTAAAAATGACCACTAGGCGGGTTTCAAAGCCAACATTTGCTTCAACTGTTTGTTTTTCACGAAGCCTCGCTCTGTTGAAGACGTCAGCTATGGTCAGCTGTCCATGCACGAGGATAAAGCAGATATAAACAGATAAATAAATCAAATATAAAGAGAACAAACGCTTGCGGTAATATCTGAATTAGTTGTGCTCTTCAAGTTGTCCTGGGTATTTTCTGAGCTTTAAAGTATATTTATAGTGCAATGCTAATTTACCCTAGCCCTTACCAGCACGATTAATCAGCACGATTTCTTCTTCATTCAGTGATATTAAACTATGTCTGCTCACAAATAAAATAGTGATTTTAAGCACTCGACTGCTGCTCTGAGGTGAACTCAGAGTTAAAGCACATCAGTGTTTGTAAACAGCCTCAACATCACACTACTGCAATAATGATAATAAATCAGTGCTCAGATCAGTTATTATAGCTTTTATTGTTGTTATAATAACACAATTCTGTTATTGTGGGCTGAATATTTACCAGTATATCGCAAATGATCAAACATCGTCCACCGCTAATTCATATCACAGAAAACTAAATATTGCAATGTCTGATTTCCCAATCTCGTGCGGCCCTAATTTGACACATGAACAACATGACCTGTCAAGGAAACACTATGTAAAGTGTGTGTGTGTGTGTGTGTGTGTGTGTGTGTGTGTGTGTGCTTCAGATCCATGCGCTGATGAAGCAGTGCTGGGCCCCGGAGCCGGCCGATCGCCCCCTGTTCAGAGACCTCGCTCGCACAGTCGAGGACATCCAGGACAGCCAGAGCGGCTGACGGAGGACACGCCAGAGACACGCATGTGCACACGCTTACATATCAAAACCCACATGTAATCTGAGTGAGGAGGACTTATTCAGCGACTGCATGAGGATCTGTCTGTGTGGGAAACGACTAGGAATGATAAACAGCAGTAAACAACAATCCACTCCAGCTACAGACATGTGTTTATACAATAATTAACATTAATGATGAGAGAACACCCGCACACAACATGAAGAGGAGCTTTACAGCGATAAATCAATCAGTGGAGGTGAATGAGCTCAAAGCGCCGCTCTCATGAGGATAATAAGATCAGCACAGACGCAGAGGGCACTGGCTTACTGCTAAAGCTGGGAAATGATCAAACATCAGAGGGTTTTCTGTCTAATATATATATATATATATATATATATATAGAGAGAGAGAGAGAGAGAGAGAGAGATGGTGCATTACATATTTGTATTTTTTTCTTAATAATTTCTCAAAGTTTGAGTCAGGTGGAGCTGAACTGTGGATGATCAGAGATGTGAGACTGAAGCGTTCTGCTGTAAACAGTGTTCAATTAACCTCACATCAGCACCTGCTGAACATCTCCATTATAGATGCCTTCACTCTCATCATTTCTGCTGTGTTTATTTGCGTTCAAGCCTGTTTTAAAAAGAGATTTTACAGATTTTAATCGCTCGCTCTCCTCTGGATCTGCTGCTTTACTGGATTTCCCCTCTGCTGCTGTGAATGATTGTGTTGGTGTTATCTGATGCTGGATCTTTACTGCAAAGAAGACGAAGTGATGTCTGAGTTTCATTAAGATCAAGTGTATAGAGCCATTGTGCATTTAATAAAAGTGTTTATATTTTGGTCAGTGTGTGTGTGTGTGTGTGTGTGTTGATGTTTGTGCTGTTCACACAGGTGAGGATGTCCTGGAATATTGACAGAAAGCTCTGTTCATTCACACATCCTCTCCTCAACACCGGTCAGTTCTGACATCTTAACCAGTAATGAGCTCTAGACAGCACTCGTGTATTGTACATGTAGATCAGTCTTTCTCCTAATGCTTTCGCTTTTATTTAAAGCTTTGGCATTCATTCAGCTGCTTTTGTCCCAGAGACTGACCAAATAACTACAATAATCCGCTAATGCTAACGCTACCGTATGACGAAAACAGCTTCGTTTACACATCTGACACTCAAATGCTGATGGATATCGAGAACAACATCGATGGAGAGAGATGGAGGAACACTTTGGCATGTGGAGGTGTATATTTGAGTGTGTTCTGCAGCTTCTGAGATACTTTTTAAAGGAAAGACCCCCGGTGTTGGACACTCAGACCTGACTCACAGGAGCGCTCCTGCACATGCACGAGCTGGCGGGTAAACTCAGCGGTTTATCAGCATTTTATCGATTATTTCTTCCACAGTTGCCACTAAGAGGGAGCATGGAAACTTTATCTGACTAACAAGCAGAAGCAAAATGTGTCTGGAGAAGGATTTTAAAGCGTTTTTTTCATAAACAGCGCGGACATCAGTGTGCTCTGTGTGTGAAGGCGCGCTCTCCGGTAACTGTCCGCCCGCGCGCAGTGGCCGCTGCCCAATGAAAACAGCGCCATTCAGGTGTTTGCTGTGAACACGCTGTCGGTTTTAAGAAGTTTTGTCTTTTGTCTCCTTAATTTGTCTTCAGATGCAGGAACATTTAAAACTTACAGTCTCTCAGCCGCCACGCCGAAAACACGCCGATATTTACGTATTTGCTCATTTGCATATTATTATTCCAATGACGCGACGTCAATCATGTGACGTAAGGAGTTATCTGATGCTTATAAATTGTTTTCGACAACTTAAAAAAGGGTTAAAATATGTATAAATGTTGAGGTGGAATAAATAAATGTGTTTTAGAAATGCGGCGCAGTGATCGAGTGTGAACTGAACCGAATCTCAGTTCGACTCTACACACTGACTCTTGAACAGGTTCACACCGGTTTACGCGGTTGTTGCTCGATTGGACACGGTAGAATTATTTATATTATTTATAGAATTATTTATATTATTTATTACATTTCCCATGAGTTGTATTTTATTAACGTCTACCTAAACCCAAGCCTCAATATAAAACAGTATTTTACTGAGTATTATTTATGTTATTTAATAAATTACCCAGTAAATTGTATTTATTGAAAGACCCTAAACTCATCTCAGTCCTGTACAAATATTCAATGTTGTTGTACAGTTTCATAAAATGCTGACGCGTATCTGATCTAGACTTGACCGGTTTACACCATTCACCAAGTCGCAAAGGCTGAACACACCGAGTCTCAGCGGAGGAATCTGTAATATAGACAGCAGCAGCAGCAGCACACCTTCACCTGTCAGTCTCAACACTACACTACATCAACCGCAGTGTCAGATTTATTTACAGGCCTGTAGAAAACAACAGAAAACCAACACATACAGAACATAGATAAGAGCATAAACACCACACGACCTCCACACAGATGAACACAGAGGAGCTGCTGTCTTCACCAGGACACACACGACATCACGACTGTCATCTTAATAAACTACTATACAGCAGATCTCCACTCTCAAACTGCTGCTCTTCTGCTGTGGAGACGCCTGAACAGCCCTTTACCAGTCAAACCACACAGGAGGCCTTTATTCATGAGTGAGTGTGTGTGTGTGTGTGTGTGTGTGTGTGTGTGTGTGTGTGTGTGTGTGTGTGTGTGTGTGTGTGTGTGTGTGTGTGTGTGTGTGTGGGTGTGTGTGTGTGTGTGTGTGTGTGTGTGTGTGTGTGTGTGTGTGTGTGTGTGTGTGTGGGTGTGTGTGTGTGGGTGTGTGTGGGTGTGTGTGTGTGTGTGTGTGTGTGTAAGCACGAGTCGTGAGTTGCCGCAGGTGTTTATTGATAATAAATAAATAAATAAATATATGAGTGTAGCTCTGTCTGTCTGTCTGTCAGTCCGTCCTCAGCACAGCCGGCCGATGTCGTTTTTGGTGCAGCCCTGATTGCAGCACATTCCCGCCAAACCCACCGAGAAGTTCCTCTTCCTGCGGTCGGGGCGGGGCCACGCGGGGCCCGAGGAGGAGGAGGAGAGCGTCTGCAGCCACGCCCTCAGCCCGATCTGTGGAGCCTTGACCCGGGCCCCCGCCAGCAGCTGCAGAACCCCGGAGAGAGACCATCGATGAGAACCAGGAGAACTGGCATCAGGAGAACCGACTTCAGGAGAACCGGCTCCATCCAGAGGGTCCTGCTGGGGGTCCAGCCACACCTCACCTGCACACACACACAGAGACATTGTTTGGTCAGTAGTGCTGATCAGTAATACGGGATACCTGCAGCTCAGGTTATTGTGGAGCTGCACGCAGGTCTCCTCTGAAATCTCTCCAACATGACAGAGCTCTCCTGCAGCTTCAGGACACATGATGAATGAATGAACAGCCGTGATGATGATGATGATGATGATGATGATGATGATGATGATGATGTCTGAGCTACTCTCCTGTTACTGACAGATTCCCTGTTCTGGATTCTGCATGTTCTGGTAAATCTGCTGTTTTGAACACAATACTGAAGTGATGTATGGTAAAGTTTATCAGCTATACTACAGTAACAGAGGTCAGCTAGTGAGTGCTGTGCAGGTAAAGCTCACTCCTCTGACCTCTAAAGGTGCTCTAGCGACAGACTATAGAGGATATGGACTTTGGCCACCTTGGTAAAGCAACCGACTCCCATGTGGAAGGAAGCCAGTTTGATGCCAGCTCGGAGCGGGTTGGGTGGCGCAGTGCTGGCGGGGTTACACTGCATTAAATGCTTTTCTAGCTTTTTTCCTCTAATTTTTTTGTCTTGTTTCGAGTCCAAATACCTCACAATTCTAAAATCAAGAAGCATTTTCTAGACAAGTAAAACACATTGTCTTGTTTTGAGAAATAATAAGCAAAATGAAGTCAGTTTTTCCTTAAACAAGCAAAATAATCTGCCAATGGAGGAAGCAGAATAATCAAGTGTCAAAAGGAAAAACAAGATTATTTTGCTGACCCCATTGGCAGATTAAAATAAGACAATAAGTTTTGCTTGTGTAGAAAATTCTTCTTGATTTAAGAATTGTGAGATATTTGGACTCGAAACAAAACACAAAGTTTAAGTAAGAAAAGCATTTACTGCAGTGCACACACACACACACACACACACACACACACACACACACACACACACACACACACACACACACACACACACACACACACACACACACACACAGTAAACAAAATCTGTAATTTTACAGTTTATTTCCGGCAAAAACTAAAATAACGGCTGTTAAATTACAGAAATTTACTGTAAAATAGCAGACATTATATGACAGAAACCTGCTGCAATGTACATTTCTGTAATTCAACCTGTTATTTTACAGTCTGTAATTTTAGCTGGAAATAAACTACAGATTTTATTGTTTACAGTGCAGTCACTGATGATGATGGTCTACTGTAATAGTTATTATAGTCTACAGCTGTGGAAAACTACAGTACTGGGTCAGCTGTTTATCTGTACACTCATTTAAAAGGTGCATGGTGGAACAGATAATGCTGCTGGAGGATCAGGTGTGTGTCTTTGTAAGAGTTGTACATTATATGTTGCAGAACAGAGCTCTTATGATGCTGTTCTGGTACAACTGAACTGAAGATACACACCTGTTCTCATAAGAAGGTGCACTGTAAAACAAAATCTGTACATTTATGGTTTATTTCCAGCAGATGGATTAAAATAACAGTAAAATTACGGTAAAATAACAGAGGTTAAATTACAGAGATTTATCAGACATTTAAATGTAAGAAATGTTCTGTAACGTCTGTAATTTTACAGTATAAATGTTCTGTAATGTCCATAATTTTACAGTAAACTTTTGTAATGTCCATAATTTTACAACAAATGTTTTGTAATGTCCATAATTTTACAGTAAATGTCTGTAATGTCCATAATTTTACAGTAAATGTCTGTAATGTCTGTAATTTTACAGTAAATGTCTGTAATGTAACGGCTGTGATTCTACACTTTTATTCCAGCACCCCAGCGGCCAGAAATCAACTGTACATTTACGGGGAAATTCTACAGTGTACATAAGTGTCGGACAACTCCTTCTTCTTTACAGTATCTCTGAAAATAAACATGACTGGAAAGGCAAAGTGATTTATGAATAATTGTCCATATTAAAACATGAATCATCATATAAAAGCAGATAAAGAAACTTATAAAAGTTCATTATTAAGTTCTGTAAATAAAAACAACTGATAAAACAAAACTGTCAGCATTATAAACTAACATGTAGGGCATTTTAATAAACATTTGGTGGCTATTTTCTGATAAACACAGTTTCATTATTGATATCTGCACCGTGTGGCGTTTGCTCTCCGCACATGAGAAGGCAACAGTCCAGCATGTGCAGTGTTTGTGAAGCTCATCAGACATTTGCATCTCTCATCACAATATGCATAATTATATTTCTACTTTTAAATTAAGTCAATTAAATCCACTTTTAAGTGAGTTCAAAGGTATTGTGTGAAAATTAGAGAAGTGTAATACTGCAGATGTGAGATCGTGTTTCTGTGATGATTGTGTGGAAAGTGTTGTAAATGTTCAGATAAAACAGCTCTTTTGATTGATGTTGAAGCATTTTTTATTCTTTATTGTAAATGGAGAAGCTGCATTCACACAGTTTTAAAACAGTTTATAAATGTACTCGATGTTTCATATTTGCTGGAAATAAAGTGACGCATTTTGGATGTAGTAAAATGCCTTTAAATAGTTGTTGAAGAACACATTTGTCAGTGTTATATGGCCGCTGTAGAATCACCACAGCAGACTGATTGCAGTGCCCCTCCTAAAATCACCTCATCTTACTAAAAACCCCACATGATTGCAGTACAGTAAGTGGCTCAGACACACGGCAGGGTCACTGCACATCACATTGTGTGTGTGTGTGTGTGTGTGTGTGTATATGCAGTAATAGAGCACTCTCACAGTTAAGGGTGCGACTGGGATGTGCCGAATGTGCACTTGTGGAGTGTTGCTGAACACATCTAGTGTGCTGTATTTGTAGTGTGCTGTATAGAGTGTGTAGTACGTACCGCTCGGTGTGTCCGCTCTCCGCCACCGGGAGCCGCCGCAGGTGAAGATCACCGCCCGGATGAACTCGCGGCCGCACAGCTTCACTCCGAAGTCTCTGGGAAGATCCGCGGACACGCACACACACAGCCCGAACACACTCACACACACCAGCAGCAGCGCAGGACACACGCGGAACATGATGATGAGTTACCGGAGGAAACACCGAGGAACCGGAGCTGCGCTGAGTCTGAGGAGTCCATCAGTCCAGCGAGACTTTATACTCACACACACACTGACGTCACACACACTTACTTTTCTCACACAAAGAAACTCAGACACACACACACACCTTCTCTCTCTCTTTGACGTCACACACACACACACACACACACACACACACACACACACACACACACACACACGCACGCACGCACGCACGCACGCACGCACACACGCACACACACACACACACACACACACACACACTTCAGCCGGATCGTGTGTGTGAGTTCAGTCCTGCAGCTGATGTTGAACACTGGATCATTACACACTCTCACTGCTGAATGAACACACAGAGCTCGGTGGTCTGCTGTAGGGGTCTTCTTCTCCAAAAGTGGACATTTCTGCAGTTATCGGCCTGATTTCTGTTTAATTATGAGGTTTAAGGACATAAAGATGTTTAATGTTTAAATGTTTAAAGAAATGTGAATAACCATTTTTAAATTTAATTAACCATTTAATTAATTTATCACATCATGAATCATTAGATTTAATTTAAAACATCAAGTGTAGTCTAGTGTTAAGATAATACATTCTGCCATGTTATTTATGAAACCATGGCAAGAGCTGGTGTGTGTCAACATGTGAGTGGGTCTCTATTCGTCTTTAAGGGTGTCTGCGGGGTCTTTACAGTATTAAAAGTTGATGAATCAATTATGAGGAAAGTCTTAATCCTGTTTCTTCCAGGTCTTCAATTGTGTTCAAGCGTTGTCTGAAGTGTTTGACTCAAAAAAGCATCAATATATGTATTTTCCTCCTAATATTAACAATGCTCGATCCACACGCCTGGTTCAGGCTGGGCTGTGTCCGCCAAGCTCATTCTCCCAGGTGAGGTCACGTTAATAGGGTATATGCTGAAGCATGCTAACAGGACTTTTAATTTGCCAGTCACCTGGGTTAAGCGCTTCCGGTCAACTGTAAACTGGCGCGTTTAAGGTCTGATTTCTTTATAAATCAGCGATCTCCACTGGCTGAGTGATATCTGATATAAAGTGGGTCTCAGATTGTAGAAGAAGCAGTGCCGTACATCACATTCCCCCCGCCATGTCTGTATTGACCTTATTGTGAAATGCGGAAGTGCGGCTGTTTTAGCGATTGTTTAAGAACTTCTGATTGAGTCGCCTATTGGAGAAATGACTATTAATAATAAACGGCAGAAAACGGTCAAACTACTCGCTCTACAAACAAATGTTTGCATGACTACACAGACCAAGTAGAATAACAAGTAAATCAGTTTGCAACATCAAACAGTGAAACGAGCCGTTTTTAATGTCTAAAATGAATGGAGGTGAATGAGAGCGGAAGTCTCGAGTAAAAAGATTCGGATGGCAGCGCCCGCTCATGCGTGGAGAATAAGGTGAATAATATGAGCGTTTACTTTACCCCAGTATATTCAGTGGAGCTTCTGCGCTAGCTCACCGATTCTGACAGGTGCGTGTGAGTAAACGGCTTTTATCTCGTTTAATGCTTGAGCAACTAAATGATGCAGAGGTCTATCTAAATGAATGTATTTTAATAACATTACAACATCGACGCTGTAAAACAAACCATATAAATTGGAAAAAACTCGCAATAACAGCTGGCCGGAAGTTTATCAGTATGGGGAAAACACTTGGCATATACCCTATTATGACAAACGCAGGAAGGTGATGTGACACTCTCCACGTCCCAGGCTCTGTCAGAGTTCTGTCCCAGATTTGCACTGGCATACAGCATGTGGGCCTTACATGGCCCGGGTTTGGCAGAGGTAGAACATAGATATATACACTAGATATCGCATAGGGACCCTGAGCATACGTCTATAGCGCCGCCACATTGGTACAGTGCTCCCAGGACAAATGTCATTCAACTGCACTAGCCAAGACAGTGTTATTACGTGAAGATGCGGGACTTTAGTGCTGTCTACGGGTGTAGTAACGAGCAAACAAAGAAAACAAAGCACAAAGGCAGAACATTTCATAGGTAATATTAAGTTTTCTTCTGTTTTTGTATGTTCTGAACTTTTGTGCTAATCAGGTAACGTTATTGATGATAACAGTCTCTTACTGCATTCACCATACGGCAAAGCAGCTCCAACTCGCACTAAACACTCGGCTTATGCTAGTTTTGTTGAATAAAATCAGCAAACAATGCAAAAGAAATATGACAACGAGATG